AGAACTAGGCCAATTACAGGAATCAATGAAGTATTACGAAAAAGCACTGACCATCTACACAGCTGCGTACGGTGAGAACCATACATCGGTAGGTAATACTTTGAACAACTTAGGCATGGTATATCGAGAACTAGGCCAATTACAGGAATCAATGAAGTATTAACTAAAAGCACTGACCATCAAAGCAGCTGCGATTGAGAGCAACTTGTTCGTGAGCAACAACACTGAAGACGACAATCACGCCCATCCTTTACAAGCACAAAGTAACTTTGATGTTCTTGAAATGGATAATGAATCGTTTCACGAAGGATAGAAATGTCGAAAGTGTTGTTGTAAGATTATATAATGATAAACAATTTAAACAAAAATCTATCGAGACGAAATTATACATTGCTGGAAGTTTTGTATCTGAAGCTTTTTTCGATTTGCGTACTTACTTTACTCACCTTCTTGCTGATCGTATTAAGAAATGGTTTAATTCAAATTAAAATAATTATTAACACACCTTAGTACGCTATAATTGTGTTGTTTTCTGTTGTGTCTATTAGATAATCACATTTTAACAGTCAAGTTTTGTTTCACTCGATCATTTTTTGATTACTTAGTTAATCAAGACAATATTTTAGTAGTAAAAATGTACAGTTTGAAGTGTGAGTGTGAAAGCCAATCTAAGTATATTAGAGTCATTTTTATTCGTCTGTGAAACAATTACTACTAGTCAGTGTTTAATAATAACTATTAGGGTGTAGTAGGCTTCCAAAAGGCAAAATCAAAACTGTGTTTGCCTAATTAGTTTCTCGAATGTCATAAGTTAAACTATTGGGAGCTAATAGGGAGTAATATTTCAAAGGTGGATGAAAATGACTCTATTTGTTTTCTTTTATGTCTATTCGATTTTCACAAATTTGATGATCTCACTCTATTCTACTGTTACACTTTGATCATCAAGTTTTGTTTAACGGGTTTGATGATCTCACTCTATTCTACTGTTACACTTTGATCATCAAGTTTTGTTTCACGGGTTTGATGATCTCACTCTATTCTACTGTTACACTTTGATCATCAAGTTTTGTTTCACGGGTTTAATGACCTCACTATGAAGTACAACGAGGTGCACAATGTAGAAGAAACTCTAAATACTAATATACTTATCAATATACATGTATAGGGATGACATTTTAAATCCTTAATTCAATGTACAATATCTTTGCGTAACTCTTAACTAAAAAATTTACAATGTTATTGAAAAATCACATGTATCACAATGCACCCGATATATGTTAGTGGTCAGAATATTTGCTAATGACTGTACACAAAAAAAATAATGACAACATGCACGATGTATGATTGTACAATTATATTTTGCTATGTTTAAATAAAGGTATGTTTACAATATCATGACTACTTTATTTTATCAATTTGATAAAGTTTATTTAATTCCACCGCTCGAAAAAGGGGCCTGTTTACTTGAGAGTTGTTCGGTACTCTGACAAATTTATGCATCGCATTGTGTTCTTGTATTTTGATACATTCATACAACAATTGATTTACACTACAATTGATAATAATATAATGTAATATATTACAAAGAACGATGCTATATGTGCAATTTATCAGAGAATTAGACAAGTATGAAATCCATTCTAATTCCCTTTCTGAACCCAACGTTTCATAATTATCCATTTTGTAGTTCCAAGCGTCATCTTGAAAGGTAGGCACGCCTTTACATCAATACTAGAAAGTAGTTGAGCCTGTAGTGATAGATCACCTTATAATCACACCAAGGACAATTATTCAGAAGTATCTATCATTGCAACTCGCTTTGATGCAAAGGCTAGGCTACCTTTCAAGATGATGCTGGGAACAGTAATGTGGAAAGTTGCATGAATACAATAGTGTTCGCGCGCTCTGGTAGGTGCGTAATTTTTCCTCTAAGAATACGTCGTCAATTATTGACATTTCCCTATAATATCAAATAAAGGATGGACTGCTTTGTTCCAAATTTGTGGATTCAAGCACTTTGGCAGGTTAGAAAACATTTAAAAGGCCCAAAACACAATCGTTTTAACACATATGATATAGTATGACCAGAACAGTCAAAATCCTTAGTTTTTAATGATTGATTTCAATAGAGTTACTTGAAGACAACTGTCTTATTCTGTGTTTTTCACTAGCGTAAGTTATGACATTGGACAATTTGTTTCTCCGGAGATGACATCATCTCATTCCAATGTCTAATCTCGCTTCCAAAAGATTCCTGGTCAGTACCAAGGTTTACATGTCCAATCATTTGCTGTTTTGAGTTTAAAATCGCCATAAAAGACATCACAAACAACAGTGGAATGAGGAAACTCTTCCTCTTTCATTTGAAAGACAAATTGCTCGTTGATCCAAGAATGTTTGTAGTGTGGGGACATGCAAAAACTCACTGTGGGGTCTTTTGAATGCACTTGTCCTGTGGATTCCAACTTGGAGATGCATGTAAAGGTACTGATGACTAACCGACTGAATCGCATTGAGACGGACTGACCCATACAGACTGATTGACTTGCTTATAGACTGACTGACTTATAGACTCATTGATTTGTTTGATGATCTATTGATCATGCATTTTATTTATTGTTTGATATACAGATGTAGACGAATTTTAATYGCCTGACTGAGTGACTCGCACTGAGACGGACTGACTGACAGTCTCAATGATTGTTTGATTGATTGATTGACCATGCATTGTATTTATTGTTTGATGTGCAGATGTAGACGAATGTAAGCCTGGTGTCCACAAAGTCAGTATCGCTGCATCAACACAGAAGGCAGCTTCAGATGCGACTGTCCCATTGGTTACATTAAAAACGGAGCGACATGTGTAAGTAAGAGCGCATTCCTTCATTTTGAACATAGCAAACATCTTTTTCAAAAGTAAACAAATGGACCAAATAGAAAAATATTGGGTTGCCAGACTAACACTGTTTGCACTCAATGTGATGGTTGTGGATGATCCATCATTTGTCGAAATGACATTAAAGTATGTAATTTCTTTATTCAGACAAGGATGAGTGTATGATGACACCAAACCTATGCGGTGCTGCAGCCACTTGCGTTAACACTCCGGGTAGTTACCGCTGTACATGTAACCGTGGATTCACATATGACCCAAAGACCAAGAAATGTACAGGTTTGTTGACAATRACATGGTCGCTTCTACTGTTTATATGTCCTTAAGATTATCAATGATACCCTTTCCCCTCCCCATTTAGGACATTGTGGTGCACCAGGCTGCTTCCCTATCCTTTGAAGGCTTCTTTCTTGTACAGCTTTCCTTGCACCCCACTTTTCATAATTTCCAACCCCGCTCATATCTCTCTTATTTCAGATACTAATTGGTTTAAATCAGGGAGGTGCACTGACATTAATTTCTTCATCATTGGTATATTTCAGATACAGACGAATGTAAGTCAGGAGGGGTGTACTGTCAGTATGGGTGCATCAATCTAATCGGGGGGTACAGGTGTGGCTGTCAGCCTGGATTTACTCAAGACTACTACTTCAATCAATGTGTTGGTAAGGCAAAGAAAAATAGAAATATCATCATCATCATCATCATCATCATTACTTTTATTGTTTATAATCATTTTTTTTATGTATCAAATCTCATAATCTGACTTTTTATTGGATTTTGATTTGAACTTTAATCTAGAAAATATTAAATAATTTTAGTTAAATAGCATGAAATAATTTTTAACTTTGCATCGGAGAATGTAATAATTTACCTAACAACATTATTGATCCCTGAATTGGTCAGTTAATATTATAAGTTTTAGATTTATATTCTTCGTATTCAAGTTACGTCACAGCGGCCTTCTTGGAGGAACTTTAACAAAGGAAAAACGATCAATTGCAAAATTCATTTTAATATATTTAGACCATTAGCTTATTGGAAATAAAGGTTATTGGTCTTTCTTTTATTATTATTTTATTATAGTTATCTTTTCGCTTGCTCATTATCCAGAAATAGCCCTACCAGTTATCTCATAATGATCTTGATTATAATTTAATGTTCATTGTTAATACAAACTTACGCACCATTTCAATTTTTTAGTGTTTTCACTTTCTAGAATATGGATGATAATATCTAGACGATTACAATAATTTACATTGACAGTTTCATATCATTTTTTTATTTCTCCGTCAGATCAAAAYGAATGTCAAACCTTCGGTCGATGTGGCAGTGCTAACTGTGTTAATACATTGGGAAGTTACTACTGCGGTTGCAACCAAGGCTACGTACTCTCTCAGTCACGTTCGTCCTGTCGAGGTAAGTACGTAGTAGTACTGCGCGTGTAACGCGCGTTCACACGTAAAATTTTGTATAAGTGAGACCCTACGTAATTGGCGTGCGTAATGAGACCTTGCGTAAGCGAGACATTACGTAAGTAGCTTGCGCATTTATTTTTTTTTAAATATCAGTTAGACAAATTATTTGATTGGTAAATTTAATACAGATGTCAACGAGTGCGTCACAGGGCAAAGTCCATGTTCGTATGGTTGTGTAAACAACAGGGGAGGGTTCAGTTGCTCTTGTCCTACAAACTACTACCCAATAGGGGGAGGGTAAGTATATTAATTTATACCTTCATTCATTTTGTTGCTCGCTTCTTAGCTTAATTGCTTGCTCATTTCTTTTTCACTTGCTTGCTTTCTTAAATTGCTCGATTGCGTAAATGCACGCCTGCTTAAATACAGGCCTAATTACTTGCTAGATTGTTTGCTTGCTTGTTCCCTTGATTAAATGAGTGCTTACTTTCTCGATATGCTTGCTTATTCGCTTGCTTGTTTACTCCCTTGCTTGCTAAATCGCTTGCTTGTTGGCTAGTTGCTTGCTTGCTGAATTGCTTGCTTCTGTGCTCGCTTGTTTCAATGCAGCCTGCATGTTTACTTGCTTGTACTGAAGCTATAAAATTCACAATAAACTCACATAAACTGTACGATGATACACAATTAACCCATTCAAAGGGTTTACATCTTGAGAATACTGTTAAAATCTTAAGAAAGGAATAGAACATAATATTACAAAAGTACAACAATAAAGCAAGAAAATCAGTAAACAGCGATAAAACTCACCAAATGGCGGTTTATGCCGGCGTCACACGAATGGTAACCAAAGACACTCGAGAGAAATGTAAATTATGCTATCACAAAGCCGCAAAATTAGCTGGCCAGCAAATCAACACAAAAGAGAAAACATAACAGTTTGTCGAGGACTTGACTCATAGCAGCGTGCTTGCTTTTAAAAATTCTTGCTTGCTTGCTTGCTTTTTTGCTTGATTTGATTTGTCTGGTTAATTGTTGGCTGGATTGATTGATCTATTGATCTATTGATTGCTATCGCATTCTTATTAGCCATTGTTTATCACCTTTCGGCGAGGCCTGCTACGAGTGCGCTCTAGCGAGAGGAGAGGTTCCAACTGGTGGAGTACCACTAGTAGACCAAACCACAGCAAGACCAGCTGGACAGGTTGGCAGCTCAAGTAGAAATTATTTGCTGACCAGGCCCGTCGAGGCCAAGGAGGACAGTCGCAGCAACAAGGTGAATACTTCTGTAACTTGATTTGCATTTTGCCTTTAGATTGTTTCTCTGCCTTCTTCGCTTTAAAGTGTTGAATGCTAAAATATGACCGTTAGTTTAACCATTGCTAACTATGGTAAGACCGTTATCTTGTTTTGCGCTCAATTTGTATAAAATGCTCTATTATTAATGTTAACTATTAAAAGTATTTCATTTGAAAATGTTTTTCAGTACCAAAAAGTCTAAACGTACGGTAATACACGGAACCTAGAAATTTTAGTTCGCTACACAGCAACACGGCAACTCGAGTAACAACACTTTCGCGCTTACATTGTCTAGAAAACTCAAATATAAGTTTATATAAATGTTAAATACCAATAGTATTTTAAGTCTAAATGTTTTTAAGTCCTTAAAAACTATTATTGTTGCTTGTTTAAAACCAAACTTGTGAGTGTTAGCGTCCTTGACGACCAAACAATAACAATCGTATAACAATGACAAAACAATTCATTATCAATCGAAAAACGCCGCTTTCAAGACTCTTTCTCTCGTTAAAATTGCATGCTAAGTCATAGATTACAGTTTAAAACTTTTTTTGTGACATATCTGTGATAATACTTATGTTTTTTTGGGTTGTTATATAAGTGGATCGAAACGTCCTAACAATGGATCGAAACGTCCTAAAAATGGATCGAAACAACTTGGATCGAAACGTCTTTGGATCGAAACGACCGGTATTCGAAGTCCTTCATCAACTTCGTTAATTATCAACCTCTTTGGATGTATACTTTGTCCTATAAGCATATAGCTAGGAAATAAGGTATTGTTTATTCCTAAGCTAACATACTGTTTGACTCTTTTCTTACAGGACAATTTGCTGGTAATCCGCACGGACAGAGGAACAAGTTTTACCGACCAAACCCAAACCAATACCGCCGTGTGCCACAAGCAAACCAGAACTATCAATACCAACAACAACAACAAAGATATCCACAAAGCAACCAACAATATAGACAAAACTACCAACAATACAACCAACAACAAAATCAAAGACCATATCGTCAACAAAGCCAGCAACCCTACCAACAACAAAACCATCAGCCCTACCAACAAGCCAACCGACAAAACAACCGACAACCTTTCCAACAGAGGTATCAGTACAATTTCCCTCAGTCTGGAAGCTACTCCTATAAATACTCCTCGTCGCAGTCAACCTTCACAGGGAATGGCGGCCGTCGTCGGCGTTCACACCTAGGTCACAGGTCTTCGCATGTTGAGATCCGTCACAGGATGTCAACAGGAAATTTGATTTTAAAGTTGTTACCAGTCCTCTCGTCGATGAATGGTACCGTGAAGTACTCGATCATAAGAGGAGATGAGAGTCTTTTTAAAGTTGAGCATCATCTTGGTACTATGTTTCTTCNGGGACAGAGGAACAAGTTTTACCGACCAAACCCAAACCAATACCGCCGTGTGCCACAAGTAAACCAGAACTATCAGTACCAACAACAACAACAACAAAGATATCCACAAAGTAACCAACAATATAGACAAAACTACCAACAATACAACCAACAACCATACCAACAACAAAATCAAAGACCATATCGTCAACAAAGCCAGCAACCCTACCAACAACAAAACCATCAGCCCTACCAACAAGCCAACCGACAAAACAACCGACAACCTTTCCAACAGAGGTATCAGTACAATTTCCCTCAGTCTGGAAGCTACTCCTATAAATACTCCTCGTCGCAGTCAACCTTCACAGGGAATGGCGGCCGTCGTCGGCGTTCACACCTAGGTCACAGGTCTTCGCATGTTGAGATCCGTCACAGGATGTCAACAGGAAATTTGATTTTAAAGTTGTTACCAGTACTCTCGTCGATGAATGGTACCGTGAAGTACTCGATCATAAAAGGAGATGAGAGTCTTTTTAAAGTTGAGCATCATCTTGGTACTATTTTTCTTCGAGCTCGCGAGACTCTTCAGCCTGGGGAATTCCATACTGTGTGGCTGAAGGCAAAGTCTAAGAAGGTAGCCCGATCGAAGAAGACGGGAAAGAAGGAACCTAAGGGTATGGAACAAGAAGAAAGTCATGAAGTCAATAAGAAAACAAAGGGAAAGGTTGACGATGAAGAGCAAAACGACAAGAAGTTAGCGGAGAAACAACAAAAAGAAACTAAAATCCAGAAAGTCRAGAARGAGTYGGAGGAAAATAAAATACAAAGAAGTGAAAAGAAAGTGGAAGAACAAATTAAAGAAGAGGATAAAGTCCAGAAGCAAAACGAGCAGGAGAAAATTAGAGAAGATAAAATACAGGATGGATACAAAACGACCAGCAAATTACAATCAAAAGGAAACGATAAAGTAGAAAAACAAACTAAAAAGAAGAAAGATAAGAAGAGAAAAACGTCGAAGAGGCTGCTTGGAGTGAGAGAATCCATGCGATTTATACTAAAGCTTAGAATTGAAGTAGTTTAAAGTAGAATTAGTTTTATCCTTTGTTGAGAATTCATGGTGAGCATTGTGCTATAGACCTCTCGCATCTGGGAAACAAAACAAAGAATTTTTTGCAATCTTGGGAATTAATATGCATGTGTTTTCCTGTTTGAGAAAACAGGGTCAATCTCATGAACGACAGCGAGTTTAATGAAAAGATTGCAGTGGGGTTTTCCGTTAATTTTACTAATGTCTATAATGTATGGTAATGTATGGTAATGGCTATATAGCAATGATAGAGAGTTATAGTCTTTAATACAGCCTCCCAAATACTATGCGCAATAAAATTTGATTCATCCACCTTAATAAATATAATTTTTCGTCAAAACAGTTATAAAGGCCCCGATAGAGTGGTTTTCATTAACCCGTGAAACATACTTTAGCGTATTTATCGCTATTACACTTTGTCTCTTTTGTTTTTTATTGTCTCTACTCGACTATTACGATCTATTACACTCTAATTATTACACTTTGTTTCACGGGTTTATGAAAACCACTCTATTACCTATGGTAAGAAAGTATTTAGAATATTTTATTTTATTATTTTTTTAAATAATATATATGTGACTATAATGTATGTAATAACTCCCACCGTGCTCTGTTTTTGAAAATATTCCATTATCAGTTAGCCTGCGATACCGGTGGTCTGCTGTTTCACGACGTTAAGCTTCCACTGAATCAGCAGACCAGCAGCACCGCAGGCTTGTTGTCTTGCTTTGATGTAAAGAAATGTCGTCACTTTACAAGATGGCACTGCAAGGGATGTGTGTAAAGTTATTGACATTACTTCAGTGTCAGTTTCTTTAACCTGTGATCTGCTGTTATCAGCGTTTGCATGCGACGATATTTTTCGATTTGATATCGATCCCTATCATAGATTAACGTTTTGTTTTATATTTAGTTATATTTCTAGTTCTTTTAAGTTCTTTTAATTAGATTATTTTGACTCATATTCCATGTGTATATGAAATATATCAGAAATTATCGGATATCATCTCCAATATTTTTTTGAAGTCTGCCTAGCACTGGTACTTTCTTTAAAAAATATTGGCAATAAAATCCCCTAATTTCTGATATATTTTATATATGCTTGAAATATGAGCAAAAAAATAACGTTTCTGCATATTGCAACGTGATTTGAATATCTAATAACACTAGCAAGCTATCGTGTTAGATCTGCTTGCATTTATTCCACCTGAAGCCATGTGAAGTAGATATGTAGGGAAATAGATCCAGTAACCTGTATTAGGCTAATATTGTAATAAAACATTTATGTCTTTTTACAAATGTCTCTTTACATCGATGAAGGATTAACGTCCAACACGTCAGTAAGCTGTTTCACCTACTTTTTTACGGTGTTGAATGTATCTTTTTACACAACTGTTTCTTTAGAAACACCGACGCAGCTCACACTAGTTTACCGCTAGTTTCCACCGCTTTTATTTTAACGCTTGGCTCAGTGAAACCCAACCTCGTTCCCAGGGCCTTATCTCTTCGCTTATCCTTTCCTATATATATAATTTTTTCTCTATTTCTTTCTCTCTCTAATTTAAATTTTCTTATCTTTCTACTTATTTTTAATCATTACTTTCCCACCCATCTCACCATTAGTATTACTTAACAAATAAATAAGGCTCAGCCGTGGTTTATACTCTGATAAACGCACGCTTGGCATTTGAAACACACAAGAAAATGTCAAGAAGCACGAGCTGAATACATTATTTATCACTTTTTACAGTAGTACATGCAACTATCAAAGCAAGGATATCATGGAGATTATAACGATGTTTTTAAACCTCCATCCAAAAAAAAAGATTACCTCATAGTTATTAATAGCGTAGCCTCGACTTGACCTGCGTCAGCTATTGGTTGGACACACCCTCTTGATAAATGCTTGCTTGCAAATGTTTCTCTTGCATCAAGACTGTCTGACTTCGCAGCGTCGCCTACGATTCTTACAGTCAAAACACCTGAAGCGTCCCCTCCAAAAATGCATTTTTCCTTTTATTATGTGAATATTGAGCCATTATTCGTTTTCAATAATAAAATCCGTTTTATCAATATTTAAAATATTTCTCGATTATTGATTGGACCAAATCAACACATGACATCCCATATATGGAAAACACATACACAGGAAGCCCATAGAAAAGTTTTCAACAGCTTCACGCAAACCAAGATGGCGTCCAGTTTGGCGCGAAACGTGAGTATACTAAAAAATATTCTAAAAATTGACAGGAGTTTTAGAGCTTCAAATGCAATTGTATTATTTTTGTTACTTAAAATCTTATTTCTTGTGATTTTATTGACATTTTTTCTGAATTTATCGCTGCCAAAGYATAAAAATCAAAGTTGAGATGTGCATTCTTGATCAATTTYCAGGAGACAAAACAGATCCTTCTTGATTTCAAAAACATCAAAAAGCTCTTCGTCTTTACATGTAATGATAAAATAGACAAAAGAAGTATAGTAGAAAAAGCTTTTCAAGTCAAATTGAAAACATCCGATATCATATCGTTGCAAAGATACAACAAAGACTGGGGGGAAGATGTCGACATTGAGCCACAAGAAATTCGTGACCGCGACAAGATAAAAGTACTTGTGATCGAGAATGGCTRCATAGACAGACCTATCGACCATTCATCGAATAGAAGCAGCTATTCAGGTGACGAGAGAGGTAGTAAGAGTAGTAACTCTGCCGTCAACCGTGGCGTGGAACATTTGGAGCAAGGTTGCAGCTCTAATAAGATCGTCTCTGATTGGCTGATCAGTGATTCTATTGTTCTTTTTGCATAAATTATGTTATCTTTATGCGATGTGTGTTTACCGTGTAGTAGTTGGGAAATGGCCAATCAAAGATAGCATACGATGCGTATTAGCGGTCTAGGGTGGTAGGCTCATATATAGATGAAGGCTAAAGGGTAGCATAACAGGGAGATATAGTACAGCGAGTATAGAGGTGGGACTATATAGTCCTCTAGGTTCCCAGTGGTCCTGGCGGTCTCGGTGATAGTCCCGGTGATGGTCTCGGTGGTGTCAGTGGTCTCGGTAGTACTCGGTGGTCTCAGTGGTCTCGGTGGTCTCGGTGGTCTCAGTGGTCTCGGTAGTCTCAGTGGTCTCCGTGGTCTCCGTGGTCTCGGTAGTCTCGGTGGTCTCCG